GCAGCGAGTCCATCCGCACCGGGTCTATGCGCCGCAGGCTCGCAGGTGGCGCACAGTAGCATGTAAGCGCCAGTAGCGATAGATTACCGCTTATGGGAGGCCTTTGTTCAGTCCCTATATGTAGTCCGCTGGGTTGTAACCTACCAGTGGACGTGGTAGGAGGGGCCGGTACCGGTCTCCTAGAACTTTCCTGTCGGTGTCGGCGGCCGGTGCGCCCCGCTGCCCGGGATGAGTAACCTCGCGGTTGGTGCGGCGTGGTGCTGCAGAGGTGGTTCCCCGTCCCTACGCAGCACGAGGAGCTCATCCCCGCCAGGGGGTTTGCAGTAAATTCGTCGTTCTTTTCTCAGCACCTTATGCCAAGATTTTCGGCGCCGCGGGTGGCTTTTTGGTGATTTGACGAGCTCCGATGGGGCAGTCTCCGAAAGCGGTCGTATTTGGAACCGCCGCCTGTGCTCTGAGGGCCACATACACCAGGTTCCTGGCTCTGCTACCGGATCGGTCCCGGGTCACCCCGCTCTTGAGCCCCCGACGAGGGCTCGCCTTGACAGTATTTCCGCGTCAGTACTCCCCCGTTTGGTCTTGTCTCCCGGGTGCTAACCCGGCCTCGGCAGAGGGCTACAATTTTATCCACCCCAAGGGGGGTGAGACGAAGCCCGCCCGAAGGTTTCCTTGGCTATTGCCGCGTCGGGTCGCCCCGCCGCCGGGTCCATTCCATCCGCGCCGGGTCTGTCCGGTGCGGTTTTAGCGGTGGTGCGCGGTTGCCCGCATGCGCCAGAACCGGTCGATGAAGGGTTGCGGGATGCCTTCGGCAGGTTCCCAGGTATCGTCCGCTGGGGTATGACCATACCAGCGGACCTTGTACTGGTTACCACTGCGGGTTTCCCGGTGGGCGACCAAGTGGTCAACCACGCATTCCGCCGGCGGTTCGGGTGTTCCAGCCGGCGGGTCCGTAGTCGATGCGGCCACAGTGGGGTCGGGCGGTCCCCGGGGCATCTTGATTACCCGACCGATGCTCACGTGGTTCGAAACCCATCTTGGTCGACGACCACGGTGGCCTCCGTAGCGGATCGGACCCGAAACTGGCCTTCCGTTTTCGGTAAGAGCTTGACGTAGGGTCTTTCTCCGTCGCTGGGCAGGTCTCCTCGTTCGGCGCTCGTCAACGGCCGCGGTGGACGGTCCACGTAGACAATGTCTCTCACCGCGATGACCGGGCGGAAGCCCACCTTCTTATCGAAGTCGGTTTTGTACCTCCTCTGCTCCGTGGTTAGTTTCTCACACGTGCGCTCGAGGGCACCTCGGAGCTTCCGCAACGTCGCGTGCTTGAAATGTACCGGGGTACGCGGGTGTTCCGTGTGAGATCCGGCGTCCTGCGGCACAGTACCGGGCAGTGCCAATCCGGACGGTGGTCGCGTCAGCAACTTTCGGATCAACGATAATAAGTTGGTCATGTAGTCGCCAATATAGCTTCAGTGGTACACGGAACACTTGACGGAACCTTGCAGCAGAGTATGTGGGGTTCGCGCACAAGTAATCAGAGAACCATGAGCATGGACCACGATTGATCTTGTCTGACCCCACAGCTCTTCCGCGTGAGTAGTTGCGTTTTTTCTGTATCGCTTTTGCAGCAGCAAGAGATACTTGGATGAGGGTTTCGATGTCGTCCCCGAACAATCCCTCAATAGAACAGATCAAAACCGAAGAGGATGACAATGAAGAACTCTCGCTTGGATTCATTTCGTTGAATCGGTACTCCATTCCTTCGGAAGGGTGCGTGTACGGGCATGGGGTAGTACTGTATCATCATGATCTCTGTGATTCTATGCAAGCCTATTATGTTCCACCACGTTTCATATTGCTATACCAAATCACATTTTCCATTAGGGGTGCACACTGAGAAGCCATCTCCAAATCCCAATATTTTCTCGTTTACCTTTCCCATTTTCCCAAATGAATAGGGGTGCTCTTAGAGCACGTCTATCGCTGTGAGTGAAATATCTAAATTCTCATATTGGGCAATTTATCATATCATATTGCTAGTTTATTCGGCGTTATTTATCCAACACAACACTATAAATGTGCAAATCGAAATGTATCCATGACCGTTTTTAGCTCAAGTTTTAGCTCTTTATTATTTTAACACGGCTGTACAACGGCCAACCACATGCAGACAAATGGACAGATACGACACCTGTCCACGACGCCCTGAGCTCCTCCCGCCAAAATGGTAATCCCAGGTTCATGATATCCCGCCATCGTCAATATTTCTGGCTGCTGCCGCCGGCAACCCTACCCGAGCTTCCCAACCTCTGCCCACGAACTACTGCACTACCTTCCCTTCCGAATCCCTTTCCCTCAATCACACCGATTGACGAAAAACGAGCACAGCACGTCGCCGTTACAGGCCTCGTTCTCATCACCATACCGCCTCTCTTCGTTGACCAATGGGTGTCAAGATGAGCCCATGGTCCAATGTTGGCCTGCTGTTGACAGCAGGGCACGTATTTAGCACGTCGAGGATTTAGCACGTCGAGGAATAGACATGCGCCGATTTAGCGCACGTCAAATTTTATAATTCGGTCCAATAACATCCACATTTATTCGCTACCAATAGACGTGCTCTTATTTTTTTTAAAAGAGACAACAAGAATTTGGCGAAGTGGCAAAATGGTAATTTCTGGATCGACCCACTGGGTCTATCCAGAAATTACCATTTCATGTATTTAGAATAAATCACTACTGTCTGTACACTTGCTTCTCGACGATTGGACGAAAGCTTATGTTTCTTCGCGGAGCACGGCAGTCCAAGGTGGGCCATGCAATTCGAAAGTTTCCACTGCCCAATGACAGCACGCCGCGATAACAATTGGACCACGGCGCGCTGCACCTTCTACGGTACATGACACACGATGGGTTGCCTTCCAATGGCAACTGGAATTGCTTCCATTGGTGTGCGAGACAGGGAGGCAGACCAAGAGTGCGTTGGCTCTCCTGCCTAGAACAGTATACAGCGGGTCTACAAACGAGCATCGGCGCCCGATGCAACCGATGCAGCAAAACTGGTCAACTGGGATCAAAAAGTAAGCACCAAAAAGCGACGCTTCATATGGACGTCACACATACGGAATAGTGCATGAATGCGAAACCTGTACGTCGGTGCAGCCCTGTTGTTGGCAGTGCGGCGCTATTGCGAAACCCTGGAAATGACATTCTTGGATGCTCTGCTGCATGCGTACATTGTCCAGCATGACTACGATTCTGCACATACCGGATCCGAGGAGGGGGTCGAGAACGTGGGTCTCCAAAAGGAATGCAGGAGTAATCGTGAAACCTTGTAATCGTTTCGCTCGCTTCTGACGCAAGAGTACCATGCCTCTCTGCACTCGAAACAGACACGCCGCCTCTGTCCGGTACGTCCTAACCGCAAAGTGAAACTAGGAGTAGGGATGAACTGAATGACTCTTTAACCAATGCATGGATCGAGCAGAGCTTCCACGTCGCAAGTCGAGGGAAGCCGAGTAGCACATCTGGCTACTGCCACCCATGACAAATCTAAAACATGTCGCCGATCACAGTAACACGGAGAAGACGAAGCAGGTCCAAAATGGTGGCAGTACCAGGAGTCCGCCTGGCCACGTCGCTGGGGAAAAGGGCATCCTTGGAAGTGGTGTCCAGCGGACAAAGCCATCAGAATTGTGGGAAGGCAATGATGTATCCATGCGTTCTCAAAACCCCGGAATGTAACCATGATTTTGTTTGATTCATGTAACCCGTAGCCGCTCGTTTTCGGATGCCAAAATCTTCATGCATCACGCCCATTAAGCAGAGGAAGCATACAATGTAGCATGCCTATCACAGGCAAGATTATGAGCAAAGCTCGGCGGCGGCAGCTGTGGATACTACCCCTGGGCTTCGGTATCCTCTCCCCGACGTAACATGCGACCCGATGTATATCACGCTCCGTTTGCGCTAAAGCGAGTAAGCTCGATGGAGGAGGCGGGGCATGTTGTCGAGCGGTATAGGGTTGAGAGGGAGAATGAGCAACATCAGCCGGCGGCAACCCAGGTGTCTGCGATGAGCTGGCCAGCGACGACGACAGCAAATAATTGCAGGCAGGCATTCTGCAGGGCGGCGGCGGCGAGGTGCAGCACGCTGAATGGTTGAAAGTGCGAATGAAACAAAACTTGTGGCCGGCCGTCAGGGGGGTCGGGCAATGGCGGAGCAAGTAGAAATTAAGGTACAGTACCCAGGGGCGCAGAGATGTATAAAAATGAATAATAAAAAGCATGGGGTCGGAGCAAGAATCGTCAATTTCGATATGTACGATCGATCGATTTGGACCTCTTGGGCCCTGCATAGGGTGCGGAGGGGGAACGCTTTTTCCAGTACTGTAAGGTAGACAATGGCAGTCAAGTTCGACGGCTGCATACTGTAGAACAGCACTAACGGCACGCATGGAACATTTTGGCGCCTTCGTTGGCGAAGCGAAACTCCCAGGAAGTAAGCTGGAGATACATTTTCAGATTTTCGGCAACAGTCTCGTCCTATTACAAAGTTTTCGCTGCACGTGTGTGGGAAAGGTGTGGCATAGAGTTGTTGTTCTCATAGAAATATACGTATGTCTGAAGGCACCAATTAGGATCGTCGTGGGGATGGCAGCTGGTTGGAATAGAGTTGGAATAGTGTTGGATTGTAAAGGTGGACCGCCACTAACCTCACTGGAATTGCATGAAATGTTCAAAGGGGGCATAGGGCAGCTCGTGGAGGCATAATGGCGCTAGCAAACCCAAAAATGAAGGGCTGTTTTCGTGCAGTCATGGACGACAAGGAAGGGGGCGGTCCCGTCATAGTTACGCTCCGTCCGTTTCATTTGTCATGCCGACCTCGTGGCTTCGTATTGTGGAACCATTTAATTTTGGAAATTTTAGAAAGCATCGTGGAATGCCTCACGAATATAATTGCTTTTCAGGTTGGAATATTAAGGATGGACGGATAATGAAGGAATGCGATTGGCAAGGGTCGCAGGTGTTTTTGAATGTTTTTTGCTATTATCCGAGTTATTTGTGAGGGAAAGTCCGGATTGTCTGGCTGTTTCGCAGCGCGCCCGTCGCGGACTGGCTGGCTGGCTGGCCCCCCTCTCTTCGCTCCATATCTCATATCATTGCATTTGGCAGCAGAGCACACACACACTCGGCAAGGCTTTCGTACGAAACTATCCAGGGCGACCAGTATCTCTCTGTCTTCCTGATATGCCGCCACCCCTACCACCTCTTCCCCTCCCGTCCCCCCCGCCACCAGTTATCCACCCTCTCCCGCAGTTTTACGCACCCACCGACTCACTACAACTCCTCTCCCACCACCCCATCTCCTCTCGCATCTCCTCATCATCGCTCGCCTATCCTTCTCCCCTCTGCCTACCTACTCCTCTCACACTTCCCCAGTCATTTCAGGCGACGACGACGTTTCCTCGCAATTTCTTCGCTCGGCCACCTACACTTCTCATCTACCTACTCGTCACACCCGCTGACCTTCTCTTTCATTGCTCCGTTGCACCAACAGCTCCCACTACTCTCGCTCACGCCGCCGTTGAGTGCCGCGCACGGCTGTGTCACAACCCATATCCTCCCTGTGGTTTTCGCCGGCAACCCGACTCGACTCCGGCGTCGCTACGATGTTACTCACCGAAGAATGTATTCAAGCTGACGTCCCTCGTTCCCCCTCCGAACGCCAAAAGTTTATCGCCCAACAAGAAAAGCTCTGGCTCTCCTTGAGCTGGGATCGAAACCGCTACACCCAAGACCTCGCTCGCAACGCCTCCCTCCTCTTGTCCGCCATAGCATTCAGTGACCACGGAGATCCCATCGATCTCTCTCTCTTGGGAGCCGATGGTGGTTCCTCCGCCGAGGCTGGTTCCTCCGAACGCGGCTCCAAACGTCGACGAGAGTCGCCTCCAGCTCCCTCAAAGCCCGCCAAGAAGCAGAAGCGCCCCTCCTCCTCTTCCGTCATCCCCGCCAAGACTCAAGTTGCATGTATCGACAGGTCGACCGGACGCCAATGGGTTCTCGGCAGAATCTCTCGATACCTCCCGGATATGAAGAAATACGAGGTCCTCGACGACGCTGATGGTGAGGAACAAATCTACAGAGTCTTCAAAAAGAACATTCGGGTCATTCCCAAGAAACCGCAGACGTTTGACACTAAGAAAAAGGTTCTCGCTGTCTATCCTTTCACAACTGTATTTTACCCAGCACGCTTGGTGAGTCGAAAGGGAAAGAATTGGGTTGTTGAATTCGATGACGAGGACGAATCTGAGGAAGGAAAGTTCAAGGAGATCGACGGCCGATTGATCATGATTGAATGACCCTGGGTTCGGCGTCGTATGTTGTAGATTGTCAGGATTGTGAATGCGATACCCTCTAATCTTGCGAACAAGGAAAGCTGTCGATGGATTGTTTGTACATGAAGAAACAGCAGAATAAGTCTTAGCCTCAGTCACCAAAGGAAAACCCATTGCTGTCTATCCGTGCCATGGGAACTCGTCTTGCACCTGACACATGAAACTAAGGTTTCGAGAACCACTGTCGAAACCCGCCTATTTAGCCAGATAGCAAAACAATGGGCACAGACTATTGCCTTCTTGCAAGAAACACACTAAACTACTCGTGACTCTTCCACCTCTCGCTTTCGTTCATGTCTCACACAGATTGGGGGCTAAAATTCAGCGAAGAACTGCTACCTCGGCTCCAGGCTTAGCTTTTAGATAGGAGAGCCAAGACAATTGAACACAACGGCAACGGCGACATACCCATCTTCTTGCCCCGGATAGAGGGAAGTTGGGACAGTGTGGCCTCCCTGCAGTCGTGCAAGAGCGATGGCTGGGACCGGGCTGCGCATAGTGACGGGTAACCGGCGGCGTACGCGGTTTAGCGGCAATGCTCATGCAGAACTTTCGGGCTAGAGGTCACCCACGCGCGGTCGACACTCAAAATTTCAGTGACTAACGGCCTCAGATATGCACGCCAACACATTCTTCGAGAGGGGCTCCTGAATCGCTCTCACGTTCCAGTGCGGCAGCTCGCGCCACGATGTACCGAGTATATTGTACACGTGTTTGGATTGGGGCACTACTGTACCTGCCACCAAAGCATCCGCCACGGCAAGATCAGGGCTGACATGGCCCTTCCCTCCCTTACAGTCCTAGCATCGGAAACTAAAGAGCAAAAAGAGGAGGAATTACTGATGATACCCGCAGCCTATATGGGACAGCCTGGGGTCTGCTCTCCAATTTTCATGCATTTTCCGTAGTGTCGTGTCCTCAGTGGCTCTTTTTTCGAGTTTCTACGCTGTGCCGTGTTCCAAAACAGCAAAAATTTGCAAGATCGCAGGTTGCACCGGTCCCTTCGCCAACTTGAAATTCTGATACTGTACGCTTCACTCGTTGGCCGTTTAATTCGCAACCTCCGTCGACGCTAACCAATAATATGCATCCTGGTCAGTTGAGGGGATGTCCGCATCGACGCATGTCATACAGTCCGATGGCCGGAGAACTTGTAAAGCACATGCGCCACACGGCATTACAGTTTGCTCCTGCCTGGTGAGCGCCATATGTGTTGAGTGCCTGTAGTCTCCAGAGAGTCAGTCCATCAGACTAAACGACTACGGTTTTGTTCTTTCCACCTTTCAACGCTGGCCGTCGCTCAGCACCCGCGCACACGCTCAGCCTCGTGATGCCAAACTTCGGAAAAAGATGAAACTCACCAGCATTATTTAGAGTCAACAGGCAATGGTGAAGAGCTCCTAGATTAGAAAGTTGCACTATTTGATGACTGAGAGCAAAAGGCACTCTTCTGAAAAGAACAGACGCAAACCAGGGGAAAGAATATGTCTTTAACTTGTAAAGTAAGGACAAAAAACGTACGTATTGTTTTATCTGGGGCGTTAGTTGACTCTAGGCTACTAGAGATCAGGAAAGCCCATACGCACGGGCCCAGACTGAAAACGGTCCGGATACTTGCTGTTACAAAACTCCAGAGTGCATCAGCAATTGGATAACCGAACTCCATGAATACGAAAGTCTCATCTGCTTGTCCTTCTATCGCTACGCCCTTGCCAACTCCAGAGGTGAAGGGAATATCTCTTCCCTCGCCTCTGTTCGCATGGGCAACACGCCGGTGATTCACACCAGATAATGCGACTTCTCATAGAAAGGGCCTCACATCTTTTTGGAAGCTTCTCGGCAACCAGCAATGTTCCACTGTAGCCGCTGGCCAGGAATATGTCCACTAGATTTTGAATATATGAGTTAATCCTGCTCCAATCATGGGACTTCTGGAGCGCAACGACATACCAAAGAGTCCCCGTTGGTCCACATGGCAAATACAAGGCTGTTCAAGAGTATCTCCTCATCCAGATCAGCCGATAATATTGCCCTGTGTGGGACACGCAAAGGCAGGCGGAAGTATTGTGAAATATCTTTTCCACCCACATGTTTTATCATGATTTTGTAATTTATGAAAAGCTCGGCCAGCAATCAATCAAAAAGACACCTGCATGCATGGAATCGAATGGTCAAAACTACTCTGAGAGCATCTCCGCAGGCGAGGGTCTATGGGATATAATGTATTTGTCCAAAATGCCAGGTGGAGAATTACAACTGGCTCCCAGTCAAAAATTAGACCGAACTCGGCCGCGGGTCTATGCTATTGAGAGATGGAGCTAAAAAGGGACCCCTCTCCACCAGTGACGGTCTAATGGTCTATCTTCTGCTCTCGCACCCCTGCCCCCTCACCTCCCTCCGTAATTCCCCAGCCCCTCCCTCTAACCGCATGTCTCGTATTTCCACAGAAGGACCATGAACTTCAACTTAGACGAACTCGTGCCTGACAGTGACGATGACATTGGAGGACGGCAATGGGCAGTTTGGGTAGTACACAAAAGTCGCGGGAACCGTATGACTGGAAATAACCCATAGGCAAGGGAAAGGGGATGGGGGCGGCGGTGGCGAAAATGGCCGGACGAGAAATGCCAAGATTTGTGCTTCACGTGTGCTACGTGGCGAATAGATCGGGTCTATCGCCGGGTCTATTTCGGGGTCTGAATAGATCCTGCGATAGACCCACGGTATTTTTAGAGCAACTCCACCAACACAGTAGCAAACGAGCAAAATACCAAATTTGACCAAATTTGATAAATTGCTCATCTGCATACTAGTTTGACTTCCCCACCAGACCGAAAAAGTGCCAAAAAATATAACACCGCCGAAATTGCCTCGAGCAAATCAGTCCGATTTGCTCAAATGACTCTCACCCGAAGTTCTATTTCAGCAAATATTTTGGTACAAGTGCTGCATTACGACTGGTCAATGAGTGGCGCTAAACCGAAACACCTTGAAATCCGAGAAAAGTTCAGTTCTTCTCGCCTTCATTTGCGAGCGAACATACACCGAGCACCTCTTTACTGTGTTGCATCGCAATCCGTCTCAAACCCACCATGGCCAATGGACTTGCAGAGAACAATGCGTCTCCCTGCTCAGGATCCCCTTCAGGTCCAGTAACATCTCCGTCTGTCAAGGGAAAAAAGCTGAAATCTGCGCGAGGCTCCGGATATACTCCGTCTGAAGATGCAGCAATGGCTAAGGCGTGGATTGCAGTCTCCGAGAACTCGATTGTGGGCACCGAACAGAAGTCGAGCGACTTCCTCGCCTGCATCGCCAACATCTACAACGAAAAGTTCAACCCGGGAAACAGAGAGGAACGAACGTTTGCTTCTGTGAAGTCCCGTTGCAAAGCAATCCAAAAGGAATGTATGTTGTTCTCTGGTTGTTACGCTCGAATTACGCCATCCAAACCGACCGGTGTGTCACCAGAAGATATGATTAGGATGTCAGCAGGTCTTTTCAATGGCATTGATATAGTACGTGTTGATGATGATTGCGGTAAGCCCTTTCGCTTCCTGCCGGCCTGGGATGTGTTGCGACACCATGAGAAGTTCATGTCTGCGCTGAACCTCTCACCAAAAGCACATACTTCTGACCCTGGTATATCTGCGGAGGTTATTAGAAGCACTAACGAAGATGCTGCATCCACGGTGGGGGTCAGATATGAATAAAAACACTCAACTTCGGCCAGCGCCAGACCGACTGGAAGGATGAGGGCAAAGGAACAGATGCAAAAAGACCGAGACGCAGCGAGAAAGCTGAAATTGGCGGCGGAGTCAGTGGCGGCGCTGGTAGAACGAAATGTGGCACTTAAGCGTCATTACGAAATAATGCTGTTCACCACCGCCCCCGCCGGCTGCGATGACGCGGAGTCGCTGGAATACTTTCAAACAATGCGTGCGCGGGCATTAAACGCAATTCCAAACGAAGAAAAAGCAACCCAAAGAGATGGCAGCAACGGAAATGTTGAAATTTGACTCGTTGCAGCGCACGAGGGCGGTGAGAGAGAAGTCAGCTGCACCGGGTCTGTCACAAGCACAGTGCTGTTTTATTACCACACAGGAAGTCAATAATGAATTCGCTCAGTAATACCTGCTGTTCACCAGCAGCTCTCTTTGGAAATATACACGACTCACTACATATATCTGTGCCTTTTTGTAAAGCTCTATGCGAAATCCATCATCTTTCTGGCGCTGTAGATAGCATAGCAAATCATTCTGATCATTGAATTGAGGGAGGGGATGTCGCAGGATATGCCGGAGGGCCGAAAAGGACTTTCTTTGTGGCAGGAGGAAGTGGCCTTGGTTTGGGAATTGCAATTGCAAGGTGTAGACCAGTTGATGGCATAAGGCGGGTGCCACCTTGTGTGTGGCAATGGTATGGGACGGGACAAATAAAGGGATAGACCCTGAAGAAGACCAGAGGGAACAATTTGGCGATCGAGGCAGCCCGCGCCCGCCAGCATCTGACGGATGATGAGCTGTGTCGCTGGCGCCGCAAGAAACCCCGAATCTCCGTCCCACTTGACCGTCGCGCGAGACCCCCGTCTTGACCCCTCCCCTCATCGCGCGCATCCCCCGCCGCGCCCGCCGTCGCCCTGCGCATGCTCCGCCATGACCGCGCCCGCCTTACTCGACGCCCGGCGGTCGCCGCTGTGGCCCGCCGCCGACCTGGCCCTCTACGCCGTCTTCCTGCTCATCCCACTGCTGGGCGGATGGCTCTCTTTCCTCTCTTCCGACTGCTAGCGCCGGTCGCACGTATGGTCTGCTTCGCTGCGGAAGTCCTCGCTCTCGATCCCAACGCCCGCGCCGTCGTCGCCCCCGTCTGGATCCTCCTCTACCTCTGCATGGCGCACGCGTCGTACTGCGCCTTCCAGGCTGACACATGCGACACCCCCCTTACCTCCAGCCCCGTCGACTACTTCACGCACCTCCTCCTCCACCACTTCTCCATCATCGTCCTGTTCGGCCTGCAGCGCATCGACCTCGCCCTGCTCATAGTCCTCTCCCTCTGGCTCTCCAGCCTTGTCACCACCCTCCTCTTCTACGACGTACACCACCACGCAGCCGCCCTCATGCCCCTGTCCTCCTCTGCGTCTCGTACAACTTCTATCTCAATCCCTTCCTCTTCCTGAACAACCCCTTCTACACAGAGCTCGACCTCGCAAACGGATACCCCCACCCGACCCAAACCCCCGAAAAGCAAGAAAAGCTTCAATGAGGCCACCCGCTGCCCCGC